CGGCCGGCACCGTGACCTTGTCAAGGTCACGCTGGGGCAGGAGCGCGCGCGGCGGAGGGAGCAGGCTGGGGGGCGCTGGGTTCCCGCGCTCGGGCTCCTCCCGGACGCTGCGAGGCGCTCGTCCCGGCGACCTCCACGCTCGTGCCGAAGACGCCCGAGCGCCAGCCGCGACCCTGGGCTCTCCCTGCTGACCTCTGAGGTCAGGTCTCGACCGCAGCGCTCGCCCCGAAGACCTCGGGCCCTGACCCCGACCTCCTGCCTCTTCTCGCTGACCGGTGCTCCGCCGCGGCCCTTACGCTGCCCCCTAAAACCCTCTCTGAGCCGCGACCGCGACCCCTCGCTGCCGACGCCCGAGGTCCGGTCGCCAACCGCCACGCTCACCCTGAGGCTCTTCGGGCTGCACCGCTGGCTGCCCCCGCCCGTGCTTAGCCGGAACGCCCCCCAGGCTGGCGCGCCCCGAGACCGTCCAGGCTCTGCTGGCGCTCAGTCCCCCTGCAGGGCCCGTCCGTGCCCTTGGCGGCCCTCCCCGCAGGGGGCCCTTGCTCCCCCAGCCGCACACGTGGCACGCACGTGCCCGCCTTTGCGCACACGCGTGGCTGCGCCCCCAGCAGCGCATCCCTGCGGGGACGCTCACCAGCGCAGACGGCTTAAAACGTGGTGAGCTTTGTACTGACTCGCAAGCGAACGTCCCGAGTAGCAAACGCATCGTTTGCTCGGTTTTCCGTGCTGTCAACTGGAAGCTCGAGAAGACAGCCTGGGAGCAGTCCTCACCCGAGGATTGTCTTCCTGTTTGTTTTCCTTTCTGCCCTCTGCGTCCTTCCCCTTTTCTCCGTGCTCGCCACACTGTGGTTTCCCGTGTCCCCGGTAGCAGGTGGAAAACTCTGGTACTGGATGGGTCAGTGCCCGCAAAGCGCCCGGGAAAGCCCCGGGCACCAGTGCGCCGTGTCCTTGCCAACGCCCGCCTCTGTTCTGTGCTGACCTCCAGGACTGGCCGGTGCTGCTCAGGGCGCCTGAGGCTGGCCGGCAATGCAGACGCTGACCCTGTGGCGGTGGCGGGGGAGGGGGTGGGGGAGGCACTCAGAAGTAGCTGAAATGGTGACAGGGTCTGGGCCCCTGAGCACGGCTGTGGGGAGGGCCTTGGGGGGTCTGGCACATTCTCGAGGCTTCGCAGGGACGGGAAGTGGAGAATGTCCCCGGAAGACGCAGCCCCACGGCCACCAGGAGCAGCCAAGGGGCTCTGCAGCGGGAGGCGGTGGGGATGCTCGCCGGGGACCAGGCAGCTAGCTCAGGGGCTGGAGCTGGGCGCTCCCAGGTGAGAACAGCACCAGCCCGTCTGGGCTGGAAGGGACCCTGGCAATGATTATCACCGCCCGGCAGGGGAGGGTGCGGGGAGGGACCTCCAGGGCCTATCAGCTGCTCACCCCGGATGACACTGGGACTCCAGGCCCAGGACCTGGCATGAAGTGCTTCTGTGCAGCAGCCAGCGTCTTACGCAGGTGGGGGCGGTTGCCCTCCGCTCCGCCCTCCCCCCCCCCCCCCCCCCCCCCGGCTCCTGCGCTCCGCCTGGATTCCCAGTGACCACCCCAGTGGGCAGCACTGAGCCCCATGGTCCCTGGAGCCCCATGGTCCCTGGAGAATGCTTCTGGGACGAAGGAAGACGCACAGTCTCTTTCCCTCATCGCTAATCGGTGTCCAGAACACGTTTTCCCGCGGCGGGTCGACTCAGGCACTCCACTGTGTGCCCTTTGTGTCTCTGTGGTTGGGGGGAGGGGGATGTGCGTGGGTGCCCCCCAAGAGGGCAGCGGCGTCTCCAACACCAGAAACCCAGAACCCCGTGTACCTGGGGACAGCCGGTCTGGGGAGACTGCCCCCCTGAGACAGGCAAGGCGCAGAGGATGCCCGAAAGGGGCTGGTGGGGGGACGCAGGGTGGGCGGGGTCCTGCAGACGCCCACGTTTCCCGCCTCCTGGGGGGAGGCTCAGAAAGGTCCCCATTGCCAAGAATTAAGCCAGCGGTTGGAAGGGGCTGGAGGCCAGCCTTTGCTGGGCAGTCGATGCTTAAATCTGCTTCCCCAGAGCATCTGAGAAATGGGCCTATTCATTAAAAAAAAGATTTTAATGAAAATGCATTTTAAGACATCATGCGTGGGGTGCCTGGGTGGCTCAGCGGAGTATGTGTCTGACTTTGGCTGAGGTCACGATCTCACGGTTTGTGGGTTCGAGCCCCACGTCGGGCTCTGTGCAGATTGGAGCCTGGAGCCTGCTTCGGATTCTCTGTCTCCCTCTCTGTCTCTCTGCCCCTCCCCTGCTCGTGCTCTGTCTCTCTCTCAAAAAATGAGAGAATGAATGTCACCTGGAGGGTGGGGCTCAGGTCAGCCACTGGACTCCTACCTCCTCCGTTCGTCAAGACCACAGATGCTTGAAACTCCTTTGCACTCTGTACCCACACACTATACGTTCTTTGACTCCTCTAAACATACTTTTTGCCCAATATTCCTCGTTTTAAAGTTATTTATTTTGTCTTGAGAGAGACAGAGTGCAAGCAGGGGAGGGGCAGAGACACAGAGGGAGAGAGAGCATCCCAAGCAGGCCCCATGATGTCAGCTCAGAGCCCCGTGTGGGGCTCGAACCCACGAACCGTGAGATGATGACCTGAGCCAAAGTCAAGAGTCACACGCGTGACTGCCGGACCACCCAGGCAGCCCGTATTTTCACAATATTCCTAATAAAAGAAAACCCAGGACGTATACTACGGAGGTCACACGTTCTCTTCCTATTTTGGGGATGTTTTGCCACAAGAAGTTCCCGCAGACACAGACGCGGGAGGGTGAGCGGCGCGTGGAACCCGTGGACCTTTCTCCGCCCTCTCTGATGTTATGGGCCTGTTGCTTTCTGCCCGGGGCCTCCCTCCGGTGGGTCCTTGGTTTACAGGCACACTTGTGGGTGTGCAAACTCCGGGCGGGCTGAGCTCTGCGCGCGGCGGCCCAGGCACGTGGTTGGTCCAGGTCGTTGGGAACAAACGCGGTGTCCTTGCCAGGGCTGTGCGGCCAGGCTGACACACATAAAACGTGCCCCGCAGGGCCTGGCCCCTCCAGGATGGGGGTGGGGGGGGCAGGGAGGCAGACCGGGCGGACCAAGGTGACCGGGTCAGCGTCACGCGGCTCTGCCCGGCCGAGGCTGGCACGAGGCGGGTGTGTCCCTCCAGGCTGCTGAGCACCAGCCAGGGGTGGGGGGTGGGGGAGGGGACCCAGGGCAGGAGCAGTGCTGTTTTACTGCGGGTCAGGTCGCCCCACAGACAGCGGCACGGGGGATGAAGGAGGCTGGAGCCCTTCACCTGTGTTCTTGCATGGAGGGGGGTGGGGAGGAGGCGGGGGGGGGGGGGACCCCCCCGG